ATGATAGTGAAGTATATCCGTTGGTCATAAAAACCACGAAAGATTATTCTTTGATCTATTGACTCGATCATCGTGAAAAAATTCAAGCATAAAGATAAGATTATTAATTTGGCTCCAGTGTTAAAACGGCGAGCTCTGAAAATGCGACCTCGAAAAACAACCCATGGGCCGTGTAATGGATAAGTCCTGCATTTTTAGCCCTCCATGGATATGAACACGTATTAACTAATTGGTCTGAATGAGACTTGTGATGTATTCACTAGCCTTACACGTTCCAGCCCAGCGATCTCCAGCATGACGCCGGCTACAAAATTGTCCAGAAATTGTAGTATATCTGTGCAGTGAGGTCACAGCACTGCCATACCGAAATTTCTAGTGTTGGTTTGTCCGGCGAATAATGTAGCGTGCATGGTTAGTCCTGAAAAATAAACAACCTGGTTCCCCTCTCGGTTAATGAAACTAAAAACAATTCAGAAAAGCTTTTAGGAGATTTCAAACGATGTGGCGTGTCTTAAAAACAAAGTATGCGCCGACGGGATAAAATCGATCTTCCTTTTTCGATACAGTTGAAGTAAACATCGTCCACTCCAAGAATAAATGATGTGCATTTAGGGTTATGGTAGATAAAACCATTTAACAATTAAGCTGAAAATCTATATGAGGCCAAGCCGAATATCCCCCGCCGCACGGTACGTGTGGGCAATTCTTACACATACTATGGTGTCCGGAGCTTTTCAATAAATCCAGGCAGTTGAATTTTTTACGAGTTTTGGGCAAGTCATCGACTGACTAGGTTGACCTTCACAACTTATGCTAGGAACTATTAATTCATTGAGGTACTCTATGGAAACCATCCTACTAGAACACTCTCTCCATACCCATATCAGCCAAATGCGATAGTTCTCCTAGAAAGTGGGCTCTCTGGCCTTCGGACTTCCAGCGCGACACATGCGCAGTAAGCAGCAAATAGCAGTTGCCTAAAACCTCTAGTTTACGCATGCTATTAAACGAATCATGTCGTCATTCACAATCACGTAGAAAACTTTGACACGATTGCGTGGCACAAAGTTTCCTCGGGAAACAGCTGTAGATTTGGTGCGTTGCACCTCAGGGTCCAAACCCGGGATGCTGCTCAATGTCGAATTTGTTGATGCTCCAGTTGCCGTGAAATTCACTTCATTATCAGGAGGCGATAAGCACTAACTAAATGTTTTTAGAAATAGAGATTGCAGTAGTTAGGCGCACCATAATAAAATACGTACAGCGACAAAATGAGATGGTCCTAAAAGGTGTCAGCTTTCGTAAAACGAGCTATGTTGAATCTTTAGTTTGTATGGACTCAGGAATGGCGTTTTCCCGCAGATTTTTGCTGTTGCACTTTTTCCCTCAGTTGTCCGTGTACCGCGGAATGTAGCAGTTCCGCGCCTGTATATGTGCATGGGTTGCTTCACTTTTTCTCCTTATATGTATGAGGTGTGTGTAACCCATAGAATCGTTCCGATGCCTACAAGACTGACTGACTCATTGTTGGTGAAGGTTGCAAGCAAGGCCAGTTTTTCGCGTGATTTGTACTTGCGGAAAAAACTAGTCATGTGATCTAGTAAGTGACTGTCACAGAAGCTTACTATGCACCTCAGGGGTTTCAGACCTACTGAACAGTGATATTCCGTAGTTGGATGATGCGGCAAACATCGTGCTCGTCCTGGAGTACAATTTACGAAAAGCATGTGTGAAAAACTGGACCTATGCTTGACAATCCACTTTGAGTTCAGTGGTTAATATTATGAACAAATCGAAAAAGCGCCACTATAGTTATCAATCTCTCGATTCATCGCAGAAATTGCAAAGTGAAAATTGGAGCGGATCGCAATATCAGATATCAAGCCGAAAATATGAGTAGGATTTGTGAACGACACATTTGCGTTTTTAAAGAAAAATGGGCCATCACCAGCGAATGAGCTGCTGAGCAACGTGTTTCCCGACATACGCTTCACAATGGAAACGGAGGAGAACAACAAACTGGCGTTCCCAGATGTGATCGTCACAAGGGCAGCAAACGGCCAACCGCAAACTTAAGTAATAAGGAGAGACACACAGATGCAGAAAAACTTTAACAGCAATCCAAGCTGTCACAATCGTGGCTGCATTCGAACCCTATTCAGACGAATAGAGACGCAGTGTAACACAACGGAGGCAAAAAAGAAGAGTGAAGACTCCATGAAACGTTTTTAAATTATGGCAACCCGGGAAATTTCATATGAAGGTGCTTAAGAGACGACCACCAGGCTGATTGATCAACACAACCGAAACCGAGAAAGATTGTGCCACCGTGTATCAGAAATTTCGCAGAAATGGCTGCACAACATCTACGGCAACAGCCGGCAACAGCAATTACAGCCGCCTGCAAGCCTGCAAACACGTTGGGAACTTTCAAAACCAAAGGGAAGTTTTGATGCATTGTAATTGACTAACTTGGTCCACGAACTTAAGTTTAGCGACTACGACAAATGTCACTTTGTTCGAACGGGAAGGAAAATTGCTACCTAAATACATCAGCACAAGCATGGCGCCGGAAGAAATGACTCAATACCAATTTTTTCAATTCATGAAGACAGAGGACACGATTTCCATTAGGACAATGTTCACATAATGCTCACGCAAGAAAAAACGGGAGGGAGAGTTTGCCGAAGCGCGGTACTCCACACAGGAATCGATAGATTGACACATCGACATCGACCCAGTCTATCGGCCGTTACAAGCAAAACAACTGCACAGTCACTGGATTCTGGGCCAAGAAACCTAACGTCAACCAACGGAATAATCTAATCAAAAGCATGTCACTGAATCAATCAATCAAGGGAACAAACTCACACCACAAAGCAAGAAGAAAACTGCCGAATCACAAGAAAACAACCACACACATTTGTTTAACTGAACGCATTCAACGAATCAAACAGACACAAGTGAGTAGGATAAGGTCAGATTCACGGAGACCAATCATACTACGAGAAAACCTCTTTCAGCGCTACCAGATAATGTTAAAATGCTATCTAATCACATCCAGAAGAGGAGCAATTCACCCGCTCAACACTGCACTGACGATGTCACCTCGATTGAGGAAACGTTTGCAATCCAGCTAATAAGCTCGGTGAACAAACCAACAAAAAAGCAGCGCATCCAAGCCACCTACATTCCACAACATTGCCAACGGTCGTTATTCCTTTCGCCAATATGCCTTTCACCTCATGCCTATTGTTCCCTACAAGTTGCAAAAGAAACATATTATTATTATTTAATCGAGTACCTACCACTGTGACATTGTCCCCTTTTCGCGCAGTCACCACTACCCGCAAATCCCTCAGTCATGCCCCATTCTGACTGTAAACGCATGATCATGCCAGACGACATGCCACCCACAAGTTGGGAATAAACATTATCATTAACATTAACCTTCGGGAACGATTTCTGTTGTTAATAACTCTGAGTTCTAATTCTGCGCTGGATCTTAAGAAATGCAAACATACCGCCTGGCTACATGCCAACCAGATGCCATTCAAATGCAAACAGAAAAAACGGTGGAGCGAAAACTCCAGAATGGTGGTGAAAGCTAAATATTTTGTCCGCATGCAATAACTGTGCTTTCCCACATGTATTTATGCAGGCACATTCATAAATATGCACAAGCAACCTCACTATGCCCGTGTCTAACCACCCTTAACATGACGGTTTCTGTTACATGTGCAAGTTGTTGAACGGAAGAATAATAACAAATCAGAGTTGTATGTCCGGCTTCATGTACACATGAGCTTTAGAAAGTCAACGGTTCTGGTAGAGCCGAAAAAGCAAGTACTTTTTTGCACATGATTCATTGGGCTAGGAGGCTGTACAAGTGGTCAAAAGCTACATACGTGGAATTGAGCTGAGCTGCTTATCATTCACTGTACTTTCTAGACTTTTATGACCTTAGGGTTTAAAAGTGTTTGATTGCTTAATTGTTACTGAAACAACATCAGATGGCCGAGAGTAAGAACATTGGTGAAGTGTAGTAACGAATGATATTTGAGTTTATTACTGGGGCCTTTGATTACCTTTAATTATTTGCTGAGGTTAATTATCCGTGTAGGCTAACTAGAGGAGCATATCAGTAGTGAAATAGCCTTGTCTAGGAGGGCTGCTACGCTGGCGAATCGGGTGCATCCCTAATATGAGCACAGTAAATCAGTTATCTATCAGGTTGCGATGGTGACCATGAGGCGGGGATGAGTCTGGAATTGTTGGTTGAGTTTCGGTAACTTGGTGTACCACGTTTTGGGTACACGCTCTCAGAAGGTTAATAGCTGCCAAAATGCCTCAGGGGTCTCAGATACTCAGAGGAGAACGAAGGCTGTCGCCAGCATGTGCTAACTGGGGTTATGCCGACCGGGGGTTTTGGGGCTTGGTGTTGTTTGGGGCGAGATTTTCGTGGTGAGGATAAATAGTTAGCTTCTAAAGTCTATAAGTAATAGTCTGAAGTACCACGGTGGACTACACCCACGTGGCAGGTTTTGACCTCGAATAACCTGACGGAACCGGGCCACAAATGAGGTTGATCCGAATGGAGGGATAGATTATCGAAAACCTGTAGTAAATAAAGTATAGCTAAACTTTCTGAAGGAAAATGGATGGAGATAAATCAGCAAAAGGAGAAACCACAACTGCAGCTGAGCTATGAGACTGGGTTTTGTGCCAGCACAATTCCGTTCGCCAGGTAGGTACACTTGTCTCCCGGATGCCCTAGGAGCAACATCTGGGCAGCCGATTATATTTAGATACCTATCTTCCTGTCCCCTTACAGGTTTTTCTTTTAGGTGTCCGCAACTCAACTATTCCCTGATCTCCTTTTTATCAATGCGGGATTCAGACATATAAGGTGGATAACAGACCTAGTAGCTGAGTGAACGGACACCGCCCACGAACTTCCATCCACTCAGTCTATCAAACCCGCATATTTCTCCGCAAAAATGACGGCGGTTCTTCTGTTTGCCTATTATGACCCAATTCTCATTGCTCGCCAGGTAAACACAAATATGGCGCGAACAATGCTACCCAACCGGACTTGTCTCGAATGGCGTTTCTTCTCAAATCTTCCCCGAAGTTCACCAGTAGAATCCCCCTTTTTGTTTGTATCCATTCTCAATAACGCGTTAAATCTGTTCTCTCGTGGTAAATTTTGATGGACTTCAGCCCTATTATTATCATCCATATCAGTGCTCGCCCGCACTCACCACAGCTTGTCATTACACCTTTTCAATTGCGTATGGTCGCAGTTTGTGGCGTGTCACACGCTCTTCTGGGAGCAAGCCTAACTGTTATCACTACTACCGCTGTTATCGTTGTCCATGGCGCCACAACTACTCATCTTCAGTTAGAAGTATCCCCATGCCAATGATGAGCGAGATATCGTTGACTCGCAGAGATTCTTACATAGAGTTGCTAACCTCGCGTTGCCACCTTGCCCGGTTTTCAGGGCGGGATTCAGCTTAGCCGAGGTTATTCTCGGTGAATACGCTCTAGATCAAGTAACTTTTAAATCGTCGTGGGCGTCGTAAAACTTGACTCCAATTTCACATCGCCCTGGAAACAAGCTCTGCCTATGGAGAAGATCCTGCTGATCTTTACGATTTTTTCATCGTCCGTTGTGCCTCTTTTCTCGAGCAGCGTTTACTGATTGATGGCCAGCTTCAGGAATATTCATGCCTTCCAACAAACCATGACCGTTCCTTTTTCGAGGAGGTGGCCTTTATCTTACGTCTTGAATAACGTCCAATTTTTTAACTACGTTAACCCTCTGTAGTATTCACAACCATTTATACAACAATTTCCTAACACTTCTGTCTCGGCAAAATCTCTGCACACCTACGCAGTGTAGCAAATAGCGTCAGAATCTCCAGACACATATCAAGTGTTTACTCAGCTAGCAACTCTTGTGGCTATCTCTAGTCCCCTAAGGAGGGGTTGAAAACATCTGCTTAGTTTCCACCAGCCACTCCCTCTTTGCACCCTAGCTCCTCATGAGTTGCTTATTCTCCCAATGACGCCGCCCTGAGACGCACAGCTCTATCGGCCACTCAGACATGCCCTTTTCTCCTAATTAGCTCGAAAGTTAACTCACGGAATCCTGACCGCCTTTTTCATATATATGTAAACGTGTATATATATATATTTATACGTGTATATATGTAAACGTGTTTGCAAATTAGGTCGTCATTGTACGTAGTTTCCCACTAGAGTCTATTAATCAGGATATTGTCACCACTGGTAGCCATGGAGGACATCCGTCTCCTTTAGTTTTGTCTACTTAACCTGGAACTGCGGACCATCTAGGCTCCATCTAGGCTCCGCGTCGGGCTTTCTACGGATAGGCAGAACTACTGGACCTATCGGACCCGAAAGCCAATCAAAACTCAGAGCTTTTGGTTACCGGCCCGCATTAACTTTGGGATGTCAGCTCACCTGCAGGTTCACGATGAATCTTGAGTTACTCGGTTCGTTGTCTTTTCTTTTCAACCTTATTATTTTTATTTCAGAGGCTTTTCACCAGAGTTATCCGGAGGTATGTACACATTTAGCCTAACCGCATGCTCAGGCTGCTGATGGGCATCTGGAACGTATAAAAAAAGATGACGGCAAGGATGGAGGCTGCGCTACTTACACCATAACTCTTCAGTTCAATCGGGTTGGGAGCCTGCTTGCCATAGGTTGCAACGACGGTCGAGTTGAATTGTGGGATTACGTTACAAGGCGCATATCAAAAGTGCTAATAGCACACACGCATCCAGTGTGCTGCATCAGGTAAGTGTTCCCACTTTCGCCTCTCCACTGTTATAGTTGGAGCCGAAACAGCCGCCGACTTCTAACAGCTTCAACTGATAACGCGGTGTCTATATGGAACGTTGTAACTGGCGAATGCGAACGAACATTTCGGTTTCCTTGCCCTGTACTCAAGGCACAATTCAATGCCCGCAAGCCCGACCAGTTTTTGGTCTGCCCGATGCGTCACCCTCCTGTAGTGATCAACATCCCCTCTGGGCTCCCAACCATTATCCAAACCGATGAAGAAGTGAGTGTGGTTTACACTGCTAGGAGTTGCGATTTAGAATTCCGTAGTTGTTGGCGGGTGTTGCTTTAGCGACCTGCCCTTAGGTACATTACAAGGCCTTTGAGCTACAAGGATATTGATAAATATGCGAGCAATTTTGACAGGGTGCCCCATTTGGGTCTATTCATGAAGGCTCTATAGACTTAATAAGGTCGTCCTCAGCAGGTTATCATCATCGAAGACAGCAACATCAGCTTTTCCACCTAGGCTTTATCGCCGCACGATCACAGTTTATCTAATCATATTTAAAACCGTAGAGTGAAAAGAGGAGTGAAGAGTAGATGATGCTTTTTTTCCGGTATGGTGGGGGCTAAAGAGCTGTGCACAGAAGGCGATGGATTCTGTGTAGGACCGCCACAGGCTGCGTAACGTAGCCATGTTCTTCAGGGTCACTGAACTCTGGCTTGCCTCTCATCGGGGTTTTCATCCGGAAAAGTGATAGTCACCAAGGTGAATCAATTGAATGGTCTTGGTTTTCATTGCCAGTTCATGGGTTGACCCCCTCAGAGTCGTCTCTGCAGGATTCGACTGGGCGAAGGGGGTTCTATGACACTGATTTGAAATGAAATGAGAGCGTTCAGCTGTAGCACCCTTCCGGTGCCTAACTGCCATGCCACCCGAAGGAAGCACGAGGGCTAGGATACTGCCAGGTTGCCCAAGCCTAGACAGGGGAAGTCGAGTGGTGGAGGCCGGATTCGAACCACGAACCTTCTGGTCAGTAAATTCGCGCTCTAATCACTTGGGCCATCTCGCCCCCGTTCAGAAAATCATCTGGTGTACCTCAGGATTACTTATTTGAAGTTTCCACCACACCCGTACAGCGATCGGGGGCACCAGCGGTCGACCCCAGAAGAACTTAGGAGATCTGCTGGCAGCGACCACCTCTGATCCGCGTCAGTAAATCGCGCTCTAATCACTTGGGCCATCTCGCCCCCGTTCATAAAATCATCTGGTGTACCTCAGGATTACTTATTTGAAGTTTCCACCACACCCGTACAGCGATCGGGGGCACCAGCGGTCGACCCCAGAAGAACTTAGGAGATCTGCTGGCAGCGACCACCTCTGATCCGCAAATTAGCATGGGTTGAATATTCCTAGTGACAAGCATACTGATATCACGTCAGCGTTACGAATGTCACAGGTTGCTAAACGCCCCCGTGACCTTGAGAATCCAGCGAACTTATTGCCATACGGATTGATTTGTTTGGGTTTCATTGGACTCAGTCTTGTGGTAACGCTACCACTTTCAGGAGTTAAGCGCATGCCGAACCGTACAAAGGATCGATTTAGCTCAGTAGTCAAGGCGCGAACTTGCTGACCGGGAGGTCTGTTGTCCGAACCGGCCTCTTGTCCGCGGTTGCGCAACCTGACAGTGTCTCAGTCCCCTTGCCTCCGGATGAAATGGCAGTATGCACCGAAAGGGTTTTACAGCTGAACGATTGATTGATTAATCTATAGGGTCTGATACATTATCAACAGTATCGTCAACGTACTCAGTGCCTGTAAGTTGGTGCCCTGTAAGTATTTCGATTCCCGAGATGCTTAGGTCAAGTAGCATCTTGATTAAGAACTTGAAGGTGAAAGGTGACGGAGAGCACCCTTACCTGATACCGTTGGATGTGTTGAACTCAGACAAGATGGCTCAGTGTTTAGAGCGTGAATTTGCTGACCGGAAGGTCCGGGGTTGGGACCCGACCTACGTATTTCGACTTCTGTCTAAGTTTGGGCAACCCGGTAGTCTTCCAGACCTCGTGCTTCCTTCACGTTGCATGGCAGCTATGCACCGAAAAGGTTTTACAGCTGAACGATTGTTTTTTTTGTCAGGGGAGAGTTAGTGTCCACGTACGTGTCCTCTGCCTGAAAAGAGACAATGATCTAGGAGAAACGTCCGTCCTCGCTAGGTACCGTCGTGGTTTAAGACGATGGACGGAGTCAATAGCTGCTCTCAGACGCAGAAAAATGATCATTGTTTTTCATCGGGAGAAGTGGCGCAGTCCCAGCTTTTGTCACAATTTGGACTGGTGGGTGCCAGCTGAACTGTTCTTCAGTCTTTATTCAGTCATACAAAACAACGTTTCTGTGAATGAACTAAAGTCCAGTCCTTTTCAGGAACAGTTTTTTCAGCGCTCCCTTTTCAGACACATCGATAGGCGCACCTTGACTATTGTGTGATCGTTTACCGTTCCAAAAGCTCTTTAAGTCCTCTTGGTTTTCGCTATTCGCCTGCGTTCGCTGTCAGTGCTCAGATTATTTGGTGTATGACCCTTGAGAGATCTTCGGGCGTCATCTAGCTCGAGGACTGTGCGTGAATGATGGATGTTTTTGAAACCGTACGGATCTCATGACAATGTTTCTCAACCGCTTTGGATAGTTCACCGTTGACCTTTGTAAATATTTGAGCGATCGGCATGTGAGGGTTTTGGGGCCCCCGGGGGGTGGGGGGCGAAGCATAATCGTTGCCGCATAGATATCGACAAGCTGGTCGTCTGGATGGAGCGCCTTACTGACTTCACACTGGTGTCGCAGAGAATAGTATAAATAGATCTTGAGATCGCCTCGTAATCATCATCATCATCGTTGTCAGTTGTAAGGGCCGAGTACTTGTCGTACAGTTGTTGTAGCTACCACAGTTTCGTTCACCGATGGTTCGAGAATGTGGGGTAGGTAGTTGCGCATTGGAGGCAAAAGCTGACAAATTGGCGTGTAAATACATCACCCTCAGTGGACTGTTAAGTGGGGGAATCGGGAACGGAGCTATGCATTGAGGGCAACAGCTTGGATGCACGAACACCACTGAGGGTGCGACTGGGCTATGTCTGACACTGTCTATAACCATCGATGTGGCCCGTCTCGGGGTCCCCAGCCAGAAAGACGACAATGACCAATGCAGCTGAGTTTGCTGGTAATGGCTTCTATGCTTCGCTGCCAAGTCATTGTTTGACCGCCTCTGGCTCGTTCCCCGCCCTTCATGTGGTTGTGCGAAAATAACCCTTCATGGAAGTCGGTCGACTGGCATCCGCAGCACGTGGCCTTGCCACCGCAACCCATGCAGTGTGGTCAGTTCACCTATCGAGGGTGAGTTATTTCTTCCGAATACCATTTGACGTATTTCAGCATTGCCTATTTGGTGTTCCCACCTGACTCGGGGAATACTCCGAAGATATCGATGGTCGAACACTGAAATTCTTTTGACGTCCTCGGCGCGCAGCGGTCAGCTTTCTTATCCGTATGGTAGTATGGAGCGCACCGCAGCATTGCAAACTCGACCCTTGACAGAGAAGCTGATGTCACGCCTACGCCACAGGTGATGCAGGTTCACAAAAGCTGCTCTTACATTCCCGATCCGGATGGAAATATCATCTTTCGCCAGACCACCGGGACTGATACAACTGCCCAGGTAAACAAATTTGTCTACTACCTCAATCGGTTCATCCGCAAGCATGAGGCTAGGGTTCGAGCCCACCCAGTCTTGCAGT